AGAGAGAGAGGGAGAAAGATGTAGAGAGAGAGGGAGAAAGATGTAGAGAGAGAGGGAGAAAGGGGGAGAGAGAGAGAGGATAAAACATTCCAGCAGGGCATTGGAATATAAAAGCCAAAAAGAACAGCTCGTTAATGGACATGATGAAAAAAGAGAGATAATTAAAAATAATTATGAGATGTAAATATTTCTTACCTCAGAATGCCAAATAGTTTTCTCAGTCTGTGTTGAACGCTCATTCTTTTTCTCAGTTTCAATGAAAATGGAATCAATTTGTGTTGAAACATCTTCCATAACATATATAGGAATTTCATATGTAGTGCAATATAAAGATGCTTTTTCTGTTTGAGAATCGGTATTAAGCAGACATTTATCTTTTGTTGAAATTTTTGATGATTGTGCATGAATGTTTTTGAATGAAGGAATTTTTGAAATAGTAAATGTTTCAGCAAGATTTGAACTGGACACACTGCTTTCAAACGTTTCAGAACATAGTGTCTGATGAAAGTTTGGGCCACACCCACTTTGTTCAATATTTACAGACTCTCCACATGGGAATTGAGCACAATGATCCTTTCTCAGCATTGCTTCACTACTTTTGCTTTCAGAATTTACAAGCTCATCAGTTTGAATATGTGAATTTGACAGGATTGGAGAATACTGTGTTGATTCATTCTTTGTCATGCAATTTGTGATTTGAGTTGATCTGCTTGATAAATAGTTAGTGTGTGTATAGACATTTCCCAAACTATCAACACAAACTGTTTGGGTTGACACACATTCATACTGCACTTGTGTTGTCTGTGTTGATGTATTTTCACAAGGTTTAAGATTCACTTCCATCTAAAAATGAAGAAAATAAATTATCTTGAATTTCAGGATGTACTCATAATTTGCAATTTGAGGGACAGACAAATTACTATCTACAATAATGAACTTACAAATTGCTGCAACTCTTCTTTGAGAGTCATGCTTTCAGAAATTTGATTTGGATAAATATGCAAGTAGTTACCGAAGACTGGAATTCGTTCAGGTGACTCATCACTTGTGCCCTAAAACAAAGATCAATGGAAAATCCATTAAATGAAAATTACTTTTATAAAAAATAATATATATTGCAATAATTTACCAGTATGGGATCTATTACATCGTCTGCTCCTTCCTCTTTTGAATTTCCTGGCATTTGTAATGAAGAGATGATTTCTTGAAGCTTCTGCATTTATACAGTATGAAAATGGTGAGTTGTTAGGTTGTTCATGCAATTACTATTACATTTATTTTACAATATCCACAGAAGTCACAAATATAAGAATTTATTTTTTAAAACTAGTAAAATTAAAGAACAATATACATTATCTCCCTACTTTATTTTCATTTTCAAGCTGAAGAATGTTTTCTTCTCTTATTTCAAGAAGTGTAACTTTGTCATTAAGTTCAATTTCAACTTTCGCTAATTTTGTTTTTGTTTCTGTCAAAATCTTCTCTATCTTGTTTTGTTTAACTTTACTTTCCTCCAGCAACACACACTGAGATAATAGGTTTTCATTCTGAAAAAGAATTAAACAGAAACTCTACTTGTTAATACTTCTTCAAAATTATTGTGATTACAATATGGTTTTACAGCACTTTACATACCTTCTAAATCAACTGCAGAATTGAAACATTTTACAGAAAATATAAAATTAGATGTGTGAAAAAAAATTATAAAGAGAATTAATAATAGAATTATGTTTATTAATACTACCAATAATGTGTGATGAGAGTTCTAATCTTTCGTACTGTTGTATCCTTTTGTTTTATAATACAATTGACCAAATAACCAAGACCAAATAAACAGAATCAGGACAGTAACAAATTTAGGCAACACCAGCAACAGCAGGCCTTATATATTATTCTGAATTATAATATCTTGATTTTGGTTGAAGTGTAGCATCCTGTTCTTGTCCTAAACACTACATAATTATGAAACAAACATGTATATTAATGGGATAACCATCACTTTCCCCAAACTCGAGATATTAATAGTTACAAATATTAAGAGGCTTGCTGTGGTTTATTCGGTATATCTTGTTTTTGACACCAGTCCTTTCAGTATTTCACTTTCATTACGTTTAAATGGTTACACAAATCTCACGAGTGTAGTATGTGAAATGAAATTTATTTAAATTTAATTCAATAATCCCTGATAAGAGATGAATGTGGTATCTTATAAGATATAAGTCCTTCTAAAAGATTAAAACAGCCCTGCATCAATTCTTTTAAAGGTGATCCAAATCATTTCTTTTTAAATCGCTAGATATTATCTGAGCGAATGCTTAATGAATGTTGTAACTGTATTTATCAGTTTCATAGCTTAAAAAACAAAGCAATTTTTAATATTCAATATTAGTATTTTTAATAATTTAACACAAGAAATCTTCTAATTAAAATTTATTACTTACAAGATAATATCTATTTCATAAAATAATATTTTAAAATTTCAAATTTTTCACCATAGTTAGTGAACTAATTAAATCATTTAATTATTTATTTTATCATATACAAGACAATATCAGTATTGGATTTTTTCTAATGTTTCTAATATGCAATTACTTCCTATTACAGAATCAATAATGAAGAAATGTCCTATATGTTAGACTATTTCCATTTATATGATCAAAAGAAGCCAACAATACCAATAGTAGTGTTCAATTTATTTTCTTACTGTACCTCGGCCCTTAAACGAGAAACTTGTTGTCTTAATCGCTGAACTTCTGCATCAACTGCAGTCTTTTGTTCATTCAATAAATTGTTCAGTTTACTCAGCTGTTGTTCACGATCCACTAACTGATTCTCCATTTTACTCCATCGCTTTTCTTTGCTTTTGTAGCTGTTCATGGAAAAAGTTATTTATTGAAATTTGCTATGCTGTTGTCAATTAATTCTAACAGTTAATTCAAAACTTATAAACTGATAATGTGCTTACATATTACACGTTTCCCTGAGATTTTCCACTTCATTTTGTAATGCTGAATTACATTCCTCACTATGTTCCAATAGGTTTTGGATATCTTGCAACTTTTGGTCATAATATTTTTTTACATTTTCCTCTCTAAAAAAAAAAAATGAAAAAAAAAAAATAATAATAATAAAAAAAAAAAGAAACTAACATTATCACAAAAGGTACACAGATGTTTTTTTTAAAAAAAAGGAATCTGCATACCAAAATATGCTAGCTTAAAATGGAAACAAAATCATATGGAGAATTTATGAATTGTGTGGATTTAGTAGCAAAAGTAATCTAAGAAACATATTTAAAAAATTCCTTAACAATAAATTACCAATGTTCTTTGTGAAACATTTACCAAAAAGGCATTAGATTACCAAAGAGATTATTTATTTATTTACTTATTTTCTAACCTGCTGCTTTTTTCAACATCACTCCGTATATCGCAACAACTTCCATCTCTGCCACATGAATCACAAGCAGAATAAAAGGTTTCTTCTCTAAATGAACTGTCATGTGAAACTGCAGATCAGAAAGAAAATGTGATAACACAATTTCTTAAAAAAAAAAAAAACCTACTCAACTTCAATTCAAAACCTACTGAAAGATAATTCCTTCCTTAGTGTATATGGCGTTGAAGATGCTAATGGATAGTTTGGAGTGCTCAATACTTCTTCGGAACGATAAGTTGGTTTGATGATTTTAAATTGTGAGATTGATGACTGTTTTTCCAGCCAAGTCTGAAAAATTTTACAAACATCCTCAAAATCTATTAATCCACTTCTGGCCCCATGTTGTAGAGATCTTGTCAGGCGCAGAATCAGGGATCTGCAAATTAAAAATCCTTCAACTAACATTCATACAGTACATTTTGTGGCATCTTTTATAATTACTATACTTTCATTACTATACTTAAATAACTCTTTGAGAGACACTTACTGTGAGTCCACAAACTTAACTTCAATTTCTTCCCTTACAAAATGTAATAAATTTTCCAAAGAAATTTTTCCTTCAGCATTAACTCCGCAGTTCTTGTTTATGGCATCGAAAAGAGCAGCTATTTAAACAAATGCAAAGTTCAGAAAACCTAATATGACATTCCACTAAACAGAAAAGCCTCAGAGACACAAGCATTTCAAACTAATTTGAAGATGCTTACCTCGCTGTTCAGGAGAATCGTATTTTGCTTTAGGCGAATCCATTTAATTTCAAGAATGTGATCTAAATGAAACATAAGTGTAACTGAATCAACAAGCGCAGCGACTTCTTCCACAACTGTTCCGCATCTTATCACTTAATATCGTTCGATATTCATATCTAAGTCACTAATGAACGTAGATAAATCAGTAACCAGAAGGAATAACTATCACTGAACAGAAAGGAAAGAGAACATGAATTTGAAATGAAATACATTAACTTACTAGACTAGCACTACGTACCAAGAAGTTAAAGACGTCAGGTATCACGTGCTTTCCTTTGCTGCTTGTAACACTTCGTTTCAAATTCTCCGGTTTTTTACAAATTCCTGGAAGGGAGGAGCAAACAAAGAGCTTGCACTCTCATTTAGTACATAAGGCAGAGTAATTATTATAACCTATGCGGACCTCTTTTATGAAAGTTTGATAATTGTAACAAATGATAAAATCCACTAAAAGTCGTTCAAATATTGATGAACGTAGACCCATACGCATAAGCAGCCTAAAACAAGAGGGGGCAACTACATTTCTGGTCCTTTCTGCTCCCCCCCTTTCCATTGAATTTTTGTGAATAAATTTGATATATTTTTCTGACATGATAAAGGAAAAAATTAAATCCTTAGGTTTCTGGAGGTTGGACAAGGCGTTAACAGATATTTATTGTGTCAATTAAGAATTTCAACATGACGTTTCCAGCGCGGTTTGTGAACCGTTTTCAGCGATAAGCCACACTCTCTTCACGGCGGTAAATAATTGATAATTACAGGAACTTTATTGAAAACCCTTTAAAGCATTTCTATTCGCAAGTATTATTAAGCAAGTAGTTAAACGAAGTGTCTGTATGTGATTTTTGAATTTTTAACTTTTAAACAAATATTCACAAATTGTCACAATTCTCTGTTCCTTTTAACCAGCAAAAATTATTTACCGCGCTGAGTTATGCCTGTAGAGCTGCAAACTTTTTCTACCCAAAGGGCTTTTATTTTACATTTTGTTAATTTTCCACTGCATACTGCAAATGAAACCCGAAGCTCTTATAACCATTATAGGACTGCCTATCCCCTATACGACCCCGGTGGCGGATGTTGGTTAAATGATGTGTATGGTCTCAGTGCTTCAGAGGCAAGTTTGGGTTGTTCGAGCATAGAGCGTTGTTCAAACGTCGGGTTGTTCGAACGTTGTTGGAAATTATTTGGAGAACTTCTACTAACGAATACTATAAATTAAAATAAATGAATTTTAAGTGTGTATCTTATTTTCGAATGGGCAACTTTTAACCCCTTTTTTTTCTCATTTTCTCAGATCCGTAATGCTAGAACTGAAACAGTTATGTCTTCAATAATATGGAAGTAAGGCTCTTACGTCACGCTGGATGGCCGAGATTGTTAAGTGGCATGTTCGTATTCATGACTTCGAAACCAAGAGGCTGACCGTTGGAATTCCACACAGGGATTTTAATTTGATGAAAGTGATGTTGTAGAAAACTATTTGGTATTCGAGGAAGTTTATTGAAAATCATTTGAAGCATTTCTACTCACAAATGCAATTATTACATGTACGAATGAACCGGACACCTCTGTACTGCTTTAGCAATTTGTAACTTTTAAACATTTTTCAACTTTCTTTTGCGATTTGTAAAACCTATGTCACGTCAAATCAATTGTTGAGTTTCTGTGCATCTGTATGAACGGATGTAAGTAAACTGATGAATCTATCGACATGAAATTTAAATATATTATAAACACTAGACTTGTGACCAACTTGATTATCCCCAAAGGCTCTACAGAATGACATATACTACCCGTATTAGTTTTCTATTTCCTTTGGTCTCGGCAAGCTATTCGGACTTACCACATATTCTTGCCAGCTGACATCTATCGCTGCCCAATGCACATTTAAAAAAAAAATTAACTAAATTTTCAGTTTCCTTATAGAAGAATGGAAATATGATTGTAAGAATCTTAAAGAACAGTAAAATCTCGTTCTAAATGGCAATTTTCTTTGAAAAAATTGGAGCCGTTTTAAGAAAATGCTGTTTAAACGCTACTGTAAATTCGAAATTAGCAGCTCTTTTTTACAGAAAACTTTCGAGCTTTTGAAATATTTCATTAGAAGCCATTTGAAGCACTTTAACCCACAAATATTTAGAAATGACGGGAAATATGTATATTAAGGCGTGAGAAATCTTTCAAAGAAATTATATTTGTGCAATTTTTGAAACAATAAAAAATTATACAAAAAAAAAAGAACTTTACTTCTCATTAATTAGCATTATCCGTTCGAAAAGTTTAAAGAAAAAATTTGGAGCTTTTTTTGAGAAAATGGCGTTTGAGAGTTTCTGAAAATGCGGAATTTTGGGCTACATATATATATATATATATATATATATATATATATATATATATTAACGATGTGAGAGACAAATTACAAAAAAAAATACATTTTGTCATTTTTGTAGAAACAAAAGAATAGAGTAATATGGCGTTTATTTCATCTTATACAGTACATTTATCACTATGTCAAACAAAATTTGGAATCCGTTTTTGAGAAAATCTTGATTTTATAATCTTTTAAAAATGCACATATTCGTCGCAATATTGCGCGAGACATAAGAGGGGGAGAGAGAGAAAATAGAAAGAGAAAAGGAGAAAGAGAAAAAGAGAAAGAGGAAGAAATTCGGTACAATACGTTTTGCTGTATATTACTTAACGAACTGGTTTGAACCTTCTTTTACCGTTAAAGAATATTTACTATGTAGATATGTCCTTCCATGGCCTATTATTGATAATTTACAATAATGTTGCGTGTACGCAACTTTGGGATTAGTGAGTATATTGTTCGACCATGATAAAACAAATGCAATTGGAATATAATCGTTGAGTAACAGTGTTGCTGTTTCATATTTGCGTTTCTTATATAATTCTCTGATCTTGGAGATAGTGTCGTATCCTGCTTTGTTGCATCATTGTATAAACAATTCAAGCGTAATTATTTATCTTCTACAAAAAGTCTGCTTATATCTAGAACGATAAAAGAAAAAGGCCTCTCTCAACTGCTGAACTTATTTCTGTAGGAAGGTGTTTACTTTATTTCTGCAAATATAATTGATGCTAATACTGCTAATGTTGACGAAATGTCAGTTAAGGAAAATATAGGCATTCTTCTGGACGAAAAACAAGTAGGAGAAAAAATTGATTGTGTAATTGTCAACTCATGGAAAATATATAATATTGCGAATGAAGAAAAATTGTCACAACTATAATTTCGCTTTTACCTAGCCATGACTCTAACGAAATCTGATGACAAGTTCCAGGCCCACATCTCTCTCGATGGCAAAATCTGCATATTGCGTTTAAAACATTTGCGTCAGGCTTAATTTAAAACTCACTGTGTTGCATATTACTGGAACTGGTAGGTTTTTTCACCAGGTACATTAAATGTTCGCAAATACAAAAGGGTTAAATCAGGCGCGAGTTCAC